TCAAAACCTCTTGATCAGAGGCCTTGCTGCCGGATGTAGTTTATCATCATATCCAGGATAAAATAAGCTTAGTAAATGACATTTCCACACAAAAAGACCTAAGTTGAATGGACTGAAACGTTTTCAATCAGTACCTGAAGATTGTATTGTGCGTGAAAACACAGAGTTGAACTACCAGTGAGGAAAAAAAATGTATATTTATTTAATAGAAGATACACTTGCCTATTGTCTGGTTCACACTCCTATCCGGTCTTTTGAACAGGAGTAGAGGTTTATCCCTTGTTCCCCTGTTGAGATATACTTCTAACGTCTCCCTGAATGTTGAAATTTTATTCACTAATTAAATCTTGTCCTCTTCAAGTCTAGAATTAGCTGTCTAACTTTTCTATTATCTTGCTCTTTCTTACAAGAATACAACTCCACACAATAACCCCCCTCAGCTTGAGTGGCTCTCGACCTTGTATTGGGTGAACATTAGTTCACATATATATATATATATATATATATATATATATATATATATATATAATATTAGGGGTTTGGTAAACAGTGACTATTACAGCTAATAATGCAAGACTCTCCGGTAAATCGAATGGAGTTCTCTCAGTCACTGTGTGCTTATCTAAAAATAAATACGCTTAAATTCACCTTCATCCCTGCCGTGCACCAACGGCTTAGGGGTAGAATCCCGACTGACGTCAATTCAGTCGGGTTTCAATCCTAGCTAGAGGCAACTGGACGTCTAGACTAGCAACACATTTTTATTATCATATTCACAACGTTTTGGCCATTGTACACTCTGCGATATGCGTTGGAATTTCAAATCGAACCCTTTATTTCGTCCACCAGAATAGATTGTTCTAGTTCCACGTGCCATGCCTTTTCTGGATATCCCAGTTTCAGTTATTACTTGGCCACAGCAGAGATGAACAAAAACTTGGAGAGTTGAGTTATTAAAGGGAGATAACTCAAACTGAAATATCCAGAAAAGGCATATCATGTAGAACTAGAACAATCTACTCCAGTGGGCACATGGCACAGTGGATAAAGGCGTTAGTTAGATCCAGTGAAAGGACCCAAAGAGTGAGAGTTCAATACCCAGCTAAGGCAGTGGAGAACTTTCAGAGGGAAATTAACAGGAGATAACTTATAACTGATCCAGTTCTCTCAAACCAGGCGATTAGGTTCCGAATCTTGTCATCGCTAGGAGATTAAAACGTTGCCGGAATTTTCTCTGAGTTTGAATTATTAATCTTTCATAGGAATAGAAAAACTCAATGAGTCTTACTCGTTACTGGACGTCATACGCTAGCCATTTTAATCTTCAAGGGATAATCTATAATCTTTATCCACTGTGCCAAGTGTCCTTAAGGACATATGGCACAGTGGATAAAGGCGTTGGTTAGATCCAGTGACAGGACCCAAAGAGTTGTGAGTTCAATACCCGGTTAAGGTGGTGGAACTTGGAAAGCGGAATTAACAGGAGATAACTGACATCCATCAAACATGGCACGTGGAACTAGAGCAGTCTACCCCAGCGAATTTTCTTAAAGGGTTCAGTTCGACATTCCAACCACCTGAAGAAGGACCTTTACTATTCAACAGCCAAACGTTGTAATAAATATGGCGACAAAGATGAGGACAATAGTCCGAATAATGCAAAGAGTAGCTATAGTGATATTGTTTGGATCAGGGCTACTCAAAGTGTAGTACACATACTGGCATGTTGAGTTTCTAGAAAACAGTCATCACATTTCACACCATGAGAGACTTCCAGGATATCTGGCTTTTTTTTTTTTTTTTTTTTCATATTTGTTATGGTTACAGTTTTTAATTACTCACGTTAATATGTATGGTGACGGTCATACATATTTATGGTGAATATGTATGGTGACGGTCATACATATTTTTGGTGAATATGTATGGTGACGGTCATACATATTTTTGGTGAATATGTATGGTGACGGTCATACATATTTATGGTGAATATGTATGGTGACGGTCATACATATTTATGGTGAATATGTATGGTGACAGTCATACATATTTATGGTGAATATGTATGATGACAGTCATACATATTTATGGTGAATATGCATGATGACAGTCATACATATTTATGGTGAATATGCATGATGACAGTCATACATATTTATGGTGAATATGCATGATGAATAATCATGATGTGCCATGTCAATGTGTGGGAACCACACCTAAGAATAACAAAAGGCCATTTTTATGATCATATATATTTCTAATTTAGTCTTTTAAAAAAATTCACCTGTTTAAAAAACAAATAGCCATGTGGATTTGGGGCAAAATTTGTAAAATTAGCATTTAATTCCTTAGATTCATAATCTAGCTGCATATCTCAAAAAATTATTGGTGGGGGAGTGAAAGCCTAGTTGGATAGGAAAGCTTCGCTTGCTGGTCCTCGCACATTAAAGCGAAAGACACTCACCCACCCCAACACATATAGGAGTTAAATTGTGTCACCTTTTTAACTGTTGCCTTGCTTCTTCTTCCCCATGGTAAATAGCAATATGTACAGGCAAGGATGACATAGCCATCTGGTTGCACAGCAGGGTAACAGTCTGGAAGAGAAGACAAACAGATTATATTGTATGGTAAAAGGAAAATATATTTTGAGATCTGTCAGAATTTAACAAAAGGGGACATTTTAATGAGGCTACCTTGGATGAATATCTCAAGCCAGTTCAATACAAGGCAATATTTGCAGGATTTAAACAAACCAATTAGAGTCTAAATGATAAAATGGATGATAAACAAAAAAATAAATAAATAATTTAAAAATAAAAAAAAAAAAGAATCAAGAATCATGTCAGCCAGTAAAGGCACTAAGTGACAAGGGGTTACTGAATGTGGAAGAACAAGAAAAAAAGGAGAGAGAGAACAATAGAAGAGTAATCAAAATGGTAGATTTGATATTGTATTTAAATTTTTGAAGATCAAAGTTGGTTGGAAAGCATGGAGCTGGAAGAGAGCTACACAAATGAAAAGTGCAAGAAAAGAAATTGTTAGCATAGAACTTACAGTTACATCTAGACAATTTAATTGTGAATTGATGAGGCCAAACTTCCAATCTAGTACTGTGCTTAAATTCACAGAATCTAGGTACCATTGAGCAAAGTTCATCAGAACAATTACCATGAAAGTATTTATAGAAAAGGCACAGAGAACCTATGTTATGGCAGTAAGAAAGTAACTGAAGCTGAGATAGCAGGTCAGGATCAATAACATTGCAGATTTTTCTTTGTATTTTATGAAGAATCTCTAAATATACAGCAGGATCACCAGATCAGATGCAAAATAAAGATTTCAATAAAAAAAAAAAAAAAATGCATTTGTCGCACTTGCTATTTTCCTGTTCCTCTTGCTTTCAATATGTCCTGTGAGTGTTAAATTCACCAATCCTTCTTTCTCCATTATGTGACCCAGAAATTTCAACTCTCTGATTCTAAATACAAGTGTTCTTTTTGTTCCCATTTTCCTTAGAACTTTCTCTTTTATATTCTGTTTCTGTTCAGTTTGGGGGAGATTGCGGTTCTCCACAAGTTCCTATCCTTTATAGCTCTATATTTGTCCTGTCATCCTTCCCAGTTCATGTTCTGTCATCCATTTACACAATCTCATCAGGTAGGTTACTCATTGCTTCTATTAGTGCCTTCATATGCCCTGTGAGTGTCAAATTCTCCAAGCTCTCTTTCCTCATTATGGACCAGAGACATTTTAATTGTCTTTTCCTTAATATTTCATTGTTGCTCAATGGTGGATTATTAATTCGTTAAATTTGCATTGGTCCTGATAGTCTGAGTTTAGAAACTTGAGGAGATGACTGAAGACAGATAAACAAACCTGACATCTTTGCCATCATACGCAATTATAGGAAAAAAAAAAAAAAAAAAAAAAAAATGCAAATTTTAAGTACTTACGATTTTCTCAAGAGACTTTAGAATTCCATTCGGCGGATCGATTGCAAATGCTTGCTTTTTTGCCAAAACACTTTTATCAGAATCTGATAAAAAAAAAAAAAAAAGAAGCATTTTTACAGTTACTTGAATATGAAAAATATTCTGTCTATATCTCTGAGATGAGGTGTTATGATTACTTGCATTATTTACATTATTCAGACTATTATCCTCATCTTCATTGACATATTCCCAATGTTTCGGCCATTGTACATGCCGGCCTTCTTCAGAGGATTGAAATTTCAAACCAAACTCTTTATTTCATCCACTGGGGTAGAGCGTTCTAGTTCCACGAGTCATGCCTCTTCCGGATGTCTTGGTTATTTCCCTTTAACTCAACTCTCCAAGTTTTTTGGTTCACCACTGCTGTGGCCTGGTATTGAATTCACAACTCTGAGAGTCTAGTCTTGGGATCTAACCAACGTCTTTATCCACTGAGGCATGTGTCCTCAAACTGAAACATTATGAATATGGCAATGAAGATGGGGATAATAGTCTGAATAATGTAAATAATGCAAGAAAAAACAAATATTCTAAATGCTTTTTATAAATATGTATGATTTTCATTCATGACATCCTTGGGCTTTATTTCCTAGACAAAGTATGACAGCAGCCCCCAACCTGCAACTAGCAAGGCCATAATTTAAAGAAAGTAGAAAGGTGAAATTACCTTCGTAGATCTGAACACAGAAAAAAGCATCTCTTATCCCAGAATTTCTCAGGGTGAAGTTGGCCGTCTGACTGGAGGCAGCTGTTGCATCGGCCTGAGTGATTTTCAAAATGCCACTAAGAGGTTCAGCTAAAAACACTTCACTGAGGCCCCCATAACCAGTCAATGGAATCTGTAGGGAGGAGGAGAAAAAGAGAGAGGAAAATTTTTTATTTTTTTCTATCCAAATGGTAAAAAAAAAAAAAAAAAAAAAAACCTTTTCAGTTTGAGGATTTGACAAGAGATGGAAAGTGTAGTGAAAATTGGAACGAAAATAATCACCCATCTGATCGAAAATGGCAGATAAAACGGTCACATAAAACCACGAAAAGTGAATTCACGCATGCAAATGAAGGAGGGCATAAAAGGACATAAAAACGCCGAACACAAGTCATTCAAAAAAAAAAAAAAAAAAAAAAAAATCTTTGGCAACATTGCAGAAGAATTGTGTAAAGGAGAAAGCAGAGGCGCAGGAAGAGATTATTGAGTAAATTGAGGGAGTTTATCAGTTGTTGCGGTTTTACACCAGGCACACCAAGTGAATAGTGTTTGTTCAGGAAGTTTGTTAGTCGTCGCAGATTTGCACCCAGTACAAACGGACAAAGAAATATTACTGCTGCGTCATCCCTTTTTGTAAATATTTTAATGAAGGGTCAACAAAGGTTCAGAGTCTATTTTATTTTACCTTTAATTTCCTGAGAAGCCAAAAAGAGACCAACAAATTCTACTTCTTGCCTAAATGTGTGGAGGTGGTATGATGGTTAGTGACAAGAAATCACTAGATTCATTACATTCATTTTTGCACAAATACTCTGCTGGGGGAGGGGGTTTGCAAAGAAGTGTAATATATTTCTCATACATACATGCAAATGTCTGCAAGCTTGTTAGATGGTTATTCATGTTTTCCTCTGTCCCTCTTGCATTCTATATGTCTTGTGAGTATCAAATTTTCTAAGCCCTCTTTCCACATTATGGGTGTCCTAGAATTTCCACTATCTTTCTGATTCTATGTATAAGTATCGTTTTGTTTCCCCTTTTCCTTAAGACTTCCTCATTACTCACATGTTTGTTTCATTCTATTTTCAGCACCCTTCTGTAGAATCCCATTTTTGTTGCCTCAAGTCTCTTGTTCATCTGTGAGGAGATTGTCCAGCATTCACTACTGTAGAGGAGGATTGTGTACATGTGAGTGGTGTTCTAACAACAATTTTTCGTCCCACAACTGCCAATGCAAATTACAGCAATTAAGCTGTGGTTCCATGCTCCTCAAAACCTCCAATGTCCTGATCAGAGGCTTTGCTGCTGGATGTAGTTTATCATCATACCCAGGACTGAAACTGCATCAACGTGGGCTGCCAATGATTCCATGCCCCTCAAAACCTCCACTCTCCTGATCAGAGGCCTTGCTGCTGGATGTAGTTTATCAGCATACCCAGGACTACTATGAGCATGAAAATTAGTAAAAACATTTCTGTGTTAAATTATTCAACTATAACTGAAATTTTTAAATGAAGTGATTTTTTATATAAATTACAGTGAAAGTAACTAATTTTTTTTTTCTTGTATTTATTTTTAAAACTCAACTATTTTAGTTTTATTTCTGAAACTTTTTACTAGAGTTTTGTTATTAGGCTACCAGCAACTAGCAATCAAAGTTAAAAATTATTTCGATTTTGGGAAAGTCTTGAATCCCCCACCCCCAAAAAAACAAAAACTTTTGTTTTTAACAAAATTTCACCCAAAATTATAAATAAAAGAGAAATCTACTAAAAGATGACAGAATAATTTAATGTAAAGTTTGATATCGGATGTAGCCATTCTGTCCCATGTTTTTAGTTTTTTTCTAAAAATCACTTTGATTCGTTTTCCTCCACTATAGCCATTTCTGTCTGGTGCCTGATCAAGCAAGAGGCGTTTCAATCAATGATGTTCTCTTGTTAAGATACACAGCCTTTCCATAACATTGCACCAACTCATATGGTACACTTTGGTGTAGTTTTCGCAATCAGATTGCTTAGTATTTCTTTGATTTATTCTTTCATTTAGTCAAACAATTGTTCCCATCTTGATTATTATCGACACATTTCGGTCAAATCCCCTCTGGCCATCATCAAGTATAACATTACCGAATGAATGGATGTAAGAGGAGGAAGTAAGTGCAGATTATGAGGATATGTAATTTTGATTGATTGGATTTGTTTTCTATAGGTTATTTACAGCCAGAAGATATTTTTAGACTATAAGAATTTTTTAGAGTGGATAATAATTTATTGATACAATTCCTGCTAATTAACTCATAGCTGGGGGGAGGAAAGGATTAATACCTTTCCCATGTGAATTTAACAAACCAAACAAGACTTAGAACTCTGCTTGCCAATTTCCAATTCCAAGTTATCATTACACCAGTAGCCTATCCAAGCTTTCAGCATCTGATATACTCAACATGATATGGTCATAAAATGACGTAAGGCTTGGCTCGAGTGACGACATGCAGGATGAATAAGGCCCGGCCCGAGCGACGGCATGCAGGATGAATAAGGCCCGGCCCGAGCGACGGCATGCAGGATGAATAAGGCCCGGCCCGAGCGACGGCATGCAGGATGAATAAGGCCCGCCCGTTTAAATATTTACGATGAAATAAATATATGCAGGATGAATAAGGCCCGCCCGAAAGGATTCATGCAGGATGAATAAGGGCAGCCCGGCGTACGGCATGCAGGATGAATAAGGCCCGGCCCGAGCGACGGCATGCAGTATAAATAAGGCCCGGCCCGAGTGACGAGATGTAGATTAAGATTGCAGAGATCAGGGAATTTTCCCTAAGGAAGCTCATTCCACAAAATAGCAGATTTGTTCTCCCCCCCCCCTCCCCCAAAAAGGAAAGACTCTTGGAAACTTACCACAAAGCGTGTAGAATCATCAGAGGATTTTATGTTGATCTTGCCATTGAGCACTGAACACCTTGTGGGGCTGAATGCTATAGTGACAGGGTAAATCTCATTCGGTTGGATGACAACACTCTTAGAGTCTGATAGCAAAAAATGAAAGCATTCAAAAGGGACAGGAACTGAAGCACAAACAAAACAGATTTAATGTTAACAAAATTTCAGTTTAGCAAAGTGACCAAAGATTCTTGGCAGAATTTAGACATACATGAGTTGGCAATTTTTCATTCACCCAAGAACACATTTGTGCATGTCTCCGTGTCAGAGTTCAAATTGTCAAATTACATTTGATTATAAAATGTTCAGATTTTTCCAAATAGGGTCACCATAACCCTTTAGCATTCAACCCCCCGCCCTGTAAATATCAGCGCTCTCAATGTCCAACCCATTCCATGCATACTCTGCCATAATATATAATAATATCACAAATAATGCAAGAAATCACAACAGTGACACTGAGAGTAGATATTAACAGGGAGGGGATTGAGCACATGGAATGTTAAAGGGTTAAACTGACAAGTCTCCATATTTGCATATACATCATTGCTGGGGGCTAATGGTTACTTGTGAAAATATTCAAATTGCTTAGGAGAGAAAGTTGGAAAAATATAAAGATCTGAAAGGAAAGTGTGGGTTTGGATTTATTTTGTCTTACAGCATATCAACATCTCAATGGGTTATTTAATGCTGATAAGATTTTTTAGGATAGGTTCGTATGAACAGAATATGTATTTGTTGTCAGAAATCAGTTTGTAGATCAGGTTTTGATGTATTTTTGTATTTTTCTTTTTTAAAAATGTATTTCTAATAAAATACATGTTTTTTTTTTTTTTTTCAAAAAATGTATTGTTGGTATTTTTGCTATAAAAATCTATTTTTATACTTTCATAGTGTTTTGACCCCAGTTTGCAGTTTGGGGATTAATTATTTGCACATAGCTGGGACCTTAACAGGTTCTACCACCCCAAGGAAAGGGAAAGTGTGAAGAAAATGGATGTCTACACATTCCCCCACTGAGATTGGCTGTTTGGGTTTTGAGGTGAATTTGACCTCAAAATACCTGAGCTTACTTTAAATTAATTACATTTAAAAGCTCCAGAACAAATAAAACCTGTTGGTTGGGTAGATTATAAAACTGTCGGGTCAGCTAATGTCTTAAAAAAAAAAAAAAAAAAAAAAATTCTCACCTTATGTGCCCCACCTTCAGAACGCATTATCAATTCTATTTTTGCAGTTGTGGAAGAACTGTTCTTCAGACGAAGACTTACTTCTCTGGGAAGAAAGAAAAAAAAGGAAAGAAAATGAAGATTAAAAATATTTTCCAAAAAGCAGAAACTCAATAGAATCAGTGCTTCTCAAACTATCTGATATGGCAGACAGGCATCTCCCCCACCCCCAATGTGTCATGTACCTGTAATATTTTGTGGAAATATTAATTTATACCAGAAATTATACTTTTGCAGTAGATATAATTTTCTTTGAGCAATTTTTTTTTTTTTTTTTTTAATTGTGCAGGCCTCTTTTTCAAATTAACCTTATATTATAATAAATCTTTTAATCTTTAGCAAACAATGTTTTTTTCTTCTTTCGGCATTCTTATTTGAGTAAAACTTTTCTATCAGCTAGTTCATTTGACTAAAATCTTCCATCAGACAATTTTTTATCACTTATCCAGCTTTTGGTTCCTACCAACACAGCATCAGTATTTTACTTTGCCTTTATTTTTTTTTTTATAACTTTGTCATTATTTCAAAATAACCATCAGGAAAATCTTTATCAATAATTTTTACACCCACACACATATTGCCTTATCTAGGCATTATCATTTCTTTAGGATAGGCATGAAGTTAAATATTTAACTTGAGAGAGGTAAATTATTTTCTACTGCTGACATGTAAAATCCTAACTAGCCTAAGTTGACTGTGTCAGATACCAACAACTAAATTAATTGAACAAAATGACTGTCTATTTCAATGTTTTGGATTCTGTCTAAGTAAATACCAAGAGTCGATTCTCACTTTGATTGTCCCAGGGGAACGCCTCCAAAATTAATATGACTCTGGTCAGCGAGGAGCCATTTATGCTGACGAGAATGGGAATGAGATACTGCCAGAATTTTGCCCTGGACAGGAATTCCAAAAACAGGGCCGTTTGGTTCCATGAACATCATCATTTCTCTGTAATAGATGAGACAAAAGAAAGAAAAATTATTAAGCACATAACGGTTAAAAAAAAAAAAAAATTCAAATGTCAAAAGAAATGTTCTGCTTGTAGCGGAATCATTACACATCTCTAAATCACAAATGTCTCAGTTTTCAATGTACATCATTTCAACTACCCTCACAAATATAGGTTGCGATGGATAAATTGTCGTCTAAATTATGCAAAAATGAAAATAACACTGACATCTCATTTTAACAGATATATTTACAAAAACTATAGAAAAATAACTAGAGATACTGTGACGAGAATATCCATGGAAACAAAGAAAAAGTGTCTTAAAAATGGTCTGCTGAAAAAAAGAAAAGAAAAAATGGTTAGAAGAAAACGCTCTGCAAAACAAAGAAGATGGATTGCAACTAACAGACAGAAAGCTAAGTAAAAATAATCTTTTGTAGAATATTACCTTCTACATTACAATAACTGTCCGAGATATCCTTCTCTATAACTTTCTTCTTTATGTGAACATTAATTCAGTAGAACGTTGAATTTAAAAGCATTTTATTTTATTCCGTCCACTCTTAAATCTATTTCCCTCAAGTTACAAATTAAATTGTTTTGTTACAATCGTCTTATTTTCATTTATTTGGATAAATCATTGCTACCTTTATTTTGCTGCTTTCTTTCTGTTAACCAAATTTTGTCTGAATCCATGTTTATATCTGAACCACATCCCTGAGCCAACCTGGGTATAGAATATCCAACGTAAATATAAATTTTTTATGACACAACAGCCGGGGTCACCAGAGAAAATTTGATTACACAATACTAAAGAGTAAATTTATTTAATAAAATTCACATTGGCTTCAACCATGGTCTCCAGACTGATGGCATCAATTTTCAACTCAATATCTATGCTGATAACAACCATTTACTCCCGTCTTAACAGGAAGTCTAAGTAGTTCAATAAGGTCAAATTGGTAACCAATCTATCAATCTATTAAAAAAAAAAAAAAAACACAACCTACATTCTGCTGTTAACTGGGGCATGGAATGGCTTGTGAATTTTACACTTCCAAAACAAAACTGCTATTTCTGCCTTCTATCACAATAGCTGGTGCTAGCCTTCAGGAGAGTGACTTGTGCTTTCTCAGGCTAACGTTTTCCACTGACATGAAGTGGAAAGATCACATCGAATCGACCATTAGGTCTACTGCTAGGAAGGTAGATTTACTGTATCAGGCTAGAAAAATTTTCTCATTAGAATCAATCTTACATACAGGGGTTGGACAAAATAATTGGAACAGTTGCAAAATCCACTCCTATATTTCAAAGACCTATTATATTAAGAACTTTAACTTTTTCGTAATTGCAGGTTATATCTATTGTAAATACATTTATTTATCTAATTTACTGTCTTTGTCTTATTTTTAGAATTTAGTTAAATTTAAGCTAAATGCGTGACCTTTCCAAGTTCGAAAAAGAGCAAATTGTTGGAGCTCGCATGGCAGGAGCCTCGATCACTAAGGTTGTTGAACTGTTTGGTTTTTCAAGAGCTACCATATCAAGAACACTGATGTAATTCGAGAAACAGGGCAAGACCTCTAGCAACCGTAGCAATTCAGGCCGAACTTGCAAACTTACTGACAGGGACTAACATGTATTGAAACGCAATGTGGCAAAAAATCATTGGACAAATGCGGCCAAAGTGACTGCCGAGTTGAATAACCACTTGAATAGTTCAGTTTCTACTAAAAATGTTCACCTTGAGCTCCATAAGGCTGCATATCATGGAAGCGCCACTGTAAGGAAACCTCTTCTCTCCACTCGCAACATTCAAAAGAGGTTGAAGTGGTGCAGAGATCACAATGCCTGGTCTGCAGACCAATGGAAGCAAGTCATATTCTCAAACAAGTCCAGTTTTTCTCTTTTCCCAACTTCAAGGCGAGTTTATGTGTGGAGGCAGCCCAAAGAAGCTTACAACCCTGACTGCTTTCTTCCAACAGTGAAGCATGGAGGTGGATCAGTGATAGTTTGGGCCGCCATATCATGGAAATGTCTCGGTCCAATAGTTGCCCTGCATCATAGAATCAACAGCAAAAATTACCTGAACATTTTGGGAGATTATGTTCATCCAATGGCCAAGACTTTATTCCCCGATAGTGACTGCATCTTCCAAGATGATAATGCTCCAATACATACCACTCGAATGGTTAAGAATTGGATTTACACCCTTGTGCAAATTTGCACAAGGGTGTAAATCCAATTTTTGCACCTTTTTCCCTGGCTTTCCTTCCTAATCAAAGAGGCAAATTGCATTGGCTCACCATTTTCCAGATCTTCATGTATTTCTCATTTGACTAAACATAACACAACCTTTATTTCTATTGCAATGGAATGAGAGAGAAAAAGGAATTTGCTGATGAACAATAACTCTTCAGAAATGCAAAAATGGCACACAAAACAGATAGGACCTTGACAGAAAAAAACAAACTTTTGTCCTTTAAAGAAAGCCAGTTGGTAAACTAAGAACTCTGGAACACCAGAGACGGTGGTACAATGACAAGCAATGAAACAAACAAACATCTACTTACGCATTGTAAGACTTGACACTTTCATCTTGTGGATGGAAAGCAACATTGACATCTGCCCTTTCACCAACAGGTATTTTTAGATAGCCAGAATCCAATGTAAACACCTGTTCATGACGACTGATATCTAAAGCCACATGGAGATCCAGGGTGCCGGCGTTGCGAAGAGTTACTGTGCGATTAGCTGCTTTGTTGACTGAGGTCTCCATTACAATGAGCTAAAATTCAAAAGAAATTGTTTAAATGCAACTTAAGTTGAAGACTGTCGAAAGTGCAAAGGAGTATGACGAAGAAGGAAATTTTTGAATTTTTCATGCAAGCTATATTGCTGCATTGGCTCATGCTAAAATTTGATAAGGATGGTCATTGATGAAGATAAGAAACAAAGTAGGTCCTAGAATAGAGCCCTTGGGAGAAAGCATTAATGTGAAAGGATCTAGAAGAGTGGCCGTTCAATATGACATTTGATAAGAGTCAGTAATTAACATTGTTCTAGGTATAACTGGTTATGTTTTTGAAATAATGAAGCTGGGACAATACTAAATTTTTAATTAAAATTCTATTATATTCAATCAAAAAGAAACTAATTTAAAAAATCAAAAAAAAAATCAAAAGCAAATCAAATCCCTAATTTTTATCATTAGTAAAAGGCTTTTGATAAAAGAAGCAAACAGCCAGCCACACAAATAAAAAATATAAAAATTAAGGCAGTTTTTCTTTTAAAATTTAAACTCGTAAATAAAAGTTAAATGAAAAATGATAGCATAAGGACAAATTTAGATATTTTTTATTTTGTTTAATCCCAAAGAAAATACAAGGTTAATGAACATGAATTAAGAGGTTAATTGGTGAGGGCAAGGCCAGAGAGGGCACAATAATTTTAGGAATTTTGAAAATCATAGGTGACAAGGAAGAGTTCTACAGGTGAGAAGTGCAAGAGAAAAAAATTACATGTAGTTATTTTAACAGTAAAACAATGAAACCTAGTTACCAATGTAGTATATGCATAAATTAATGTAGTCGAGGCAACAAGGAGGAAAGATCATGAGAACAAATGCCAAGAAAATATAAAAAAAAAAAAAAAAAAAAAAAAAAAAAATCAGTGGGAAGCTACATTCCAGCAGTAAGAAAGTGAGTGAAACTGAGATGCCAGGTCAGGGCCGATAACATTGAAGATCCTTCATTGAATTTTGTCAAGACTCACAAGGTATATAGCATAATTACCAGATGTGGCAGTAATATTTAATGCACATACAAATGGTAGATTTATAAATGCAGCAAGAGATTCTGGCAGGAAAAATTGTCTGGCATGATAACATGAAACAACTTTCATAGTAGTAGACCTAGCAGTTAAATTCAATATAATCATTCTACATACCAGTGGAAAACAGTAGACCAAAACAGGTGCAAGTTGCTCTCCCCAAGGTTAGCATCAGCCATACTAATCAAAAACAAAGGTGTTCTCTCAGGTGACTAAAAGAGCCAGTTTACATATCAAACATATCAGACTTACTAAGATACAAGTAAATAGTTATCAGCATAAATACCGAGTTGGGAAATGATGACATTGGGATGGTCATTGATGAAGATAAGAAACAAAGTAGGTCCTAGAATAGAGCCCTGGGGAGAAAGCATTAATGTGAAAGGATCTAGAAGAGTGGCCATTCAATATGACATTCATTACATGGTTTATTAAAGACAGAATCAAATCAAAAATTCAGCCTGAGACATCATAGCTCTTCAGCTTATGAAGAAGACTAGTATGCTAAACCCTGGCACATGCCTTAGAGATATCTAAACGCTACACCCTGAGTGTCACCATTTTTATCTATAGCTTGTCTGAAAGGAGGCTATTCTAAATGAGATGCTTACTGTTGTAGCATACCTATGGACGATAATGGGCATGTTCCCATTCACATAAATACAGTAGTAAATACTGTATGTTGGTCTGCATTTGAAGATTCATTGTGGAATTCATTTGACTCACTTTTAGCACACTATGTAGATTATTTGGACTATTGTCCTCATCTGTCGCCATATTTATTACAACATTTCAGCTGTTGTACACGCCAGCCTTCAGGCGGTTGGAATGTTGAACTGAACCCTTTATTTTGCTCACTCAAGGACAGATAGCACAGTGGATAAAGGTGTTGGTTAGATCCAGTGACAGGACCCAAAGAGTGTGAGTTCAATACCTAGTTAAGGTAGTGGAGAACTTGGAGAGGAGAATTAACAGGAGATAACTGACATTCATTAAAACATGGCACGTGGAACTAGAACAGTCTACCTCAGTGAATCAAAATAAAGGGTTCAGTTCAATTTTCAACCACCTGAAGAAGGCCGGAGGTACAATGGCAAAACGTAAAAAATGGCGAAAAAGAAAAGATGGACAATAGTCCGAATAATATAAATAGTGTAAATATTACCTCATCTCAGAAATATAGACAGATACTGAAAGGCCAAAACGTTGTAATAAATATGGTTTCAAAAGATGAGGACAATATCCGAATAATGTAAATGGTGTAAATAATACCTCATCTCAGAAATATAGACAGATACTGAAGGGCCTGAAACGCCTAAAATAAATATAGGCGATTTTTATGAGGACAATGGTCCTAATAATGTAAATGGTGTACATTTAAATTTTAAAAGAAATATAGACAGATACTGAAGGGCCAAATTTTGTAATAAATATGAAAACAAAGATGAGGACAATGGTCCTAATAATGTAAATAGTGTACATAATACCTCATCTCAGAAAATATAGTCAGTCACTTTTAATAGTTGTCTTGTTGTACATGCCACTGGCAAATCTTACATGTGTTGTTGGTGTCCTAAGTATTATTGTTCATTACCAACCTTTGTTTGATTATTCTATTCAACAACCTTCCCTAGGTTAGAAGACCTACTCAATTCAAAAGTGATTAGAGCCACTAGTACTTTGCCAAAATTAGGTGGAAGACCAATAAGTTAATAATTCAAGAGGTCAGAAGTTTCATCAGTTTTCTTAAAAACAAGAACTGCAGAAGGTTTTCCAACAAGCTGGAAAGCAAGAAGCAGTAAGGCAATTGTCGTAGAATTTAGAAAGAACAGGAACCAGCTCGGGCAAATTTCTTAATCTCAGGGATACCATCAAGCCTGAATCTGATGGCAGAAACTATGGACAGAGTTATATGCATATCATACAGTAGAGATTTGGTTTTAGGTGGAAACTCAGGCAAAGGTACCCCTGAGTTAAGAGTGGAGTTGGAAGAGAATTTACAAGCAAAGAATTACTTTATCAGCAACAGATGACAATATTTGAGGAATTAAAGATTTACCTTTCTTTAACGCACACACAGAGCCACCAGTAATCACAAGAGCTAAACAGAGTCTCATTCTATCAGCAAACAACAACTTAGCCTTGCAGAGGACAAACTTACAAATATTACAAGAAGAGAGAGAAATTTCTGATATGATCCGAACCATCACAATGGTATAGCCAGAAAAAGTGATTCCTGTAAGCTCAGTGGCACAAGATTCCCAATCAGAATATTCGGAACAAAATGAGGTCTTGAGACATGGTGGTTCTTACCTAATATACGAGCAGAAAGTAATATCTAAAGACACTATCATTATAAAACATTTTTCTGTTTATATGTTCTTTTTTTTTTTATAGATACAAATATTTACATAATTGCTGTTTATAATAAACAATATTAACGACATTTACTGGCCTGAATGTCTGAGAAATTTTCATAGAAAATATGCATCTTCTGACAGGAATCAAACCTGTATCCTACACAGAACAGTCATATAGCCTGACGTGCTTTTACCAACTGAGCCACAGAGGAGCGTTTCGGTTAGCAAGGTCAATTCTACTGTTTTTAAACTTACAATTCTCCACGACTTTCTCATGTACATTCATATCTGCTTGAAGCATATCCAAGTGTAAACAAATGATGTCACACATTATGAAATGGACAAAGTCCAACAATTATTTTAAGATATTTTTAGGTTTATAAAAATAATGTTTATTTTTTAAAAATCACGTTTTTTCTGAGTGGCAAAGTGCTAGAATTAGTCCAGAGAAGGTAAACAATTTGATTTATTTTTCATATTACGGCATATTTCTCTTCTCAATGGGTTATTTAATGATTTGAGTTTAAAATTTTTTTAGATTTTTGAATAGAATATGTATTCTTGTTTATTTTTCTTTGGTTTATTTGTTTTAAAAAATATCAAATTAAAAATGGGTTATTTAATGCCGATTTTTTTAGGATAAATTCGTATTTTTAAAATATGTTTCTTTGGTTTTTTTTTTTTTATTTTGTTTTATGGCATATTAACACCTCAATGGATTATTTAATTTTAAAAAAAAAAATTTTTATGCTGGTAATATTTTGTTTTGTCAAAAATCTGTTTCTGGTAATATTTTTCCTTCAAAATTTATTGCTGGTAATAGTTAACTATTTGCCCTTGGTTGGGAGCCTAACAAGAGCTACTACCCTGGGAACACCAGCAATTAAGAGGTGGTTCCACGCTCCTCAAAACCTCCTGATCAGAGGCCTTGCTGCTTATGTAGTTTTATTGCCTTTTTCCAGGATGAAGACGAAGGTTTCGAAGAGATTGAATAAAAGATTGTGTTTGTCAGAATTACTGGGGAAACAAGTTGGGAAATCTGCTTGGGTGAGAAATTGAGCAACAGAAGAATTCAGGGTCTGGATACTGGCAAGATCAGTGGTATAAGAAAGACGAATCCACTTAACATATTTGCAAATGAATGTAGAGATTACTGTTTCTATACTGTCAGAGATTCTATCTAACAATTTATAGTCCAGAGAAAGGGAATGATAAAAGGAAGAAGAGATAACTAACATGATTTATGAATGAAAGTCAGAAGCACAGAAGAACAATCTGGAGACTCAAGAGACAATTCTCTTGCTGTTGAGAGATTTTCTCAAAAGAGACACCGAGGCCATTCCTGTGCATCTTATAAACATTTCAATAAAAAGAAGATTGCCTGGAAAAGAAATTTCAGTGGAACAGATTGAGGAGTAGAAGTTACTTTCATATATATTTGGGGGGGGGTTATAAATGTAAATAGCATTTGAATGTAATTGTAAG